AAAATAGCTTGGCATGTCATCACGTAACTTGTCATGATGCACAAATACATTCAACTGGTGGTCTCGCCGTGTCTCTCATGTCTTCACCATGCGGATACTTCGTACTTGAACTGACTTTTTTATATTTCTGCCCGTTCTCAACCTAACTATTTCCAGGCTGCCGACCCGACTACTTGCGAGCAGACCGCCCCTCTCCCTTTCCCTCTCCTGACTGGTCTACGTTCCCAACGTTGCAAACTAGCGCCAGCCGAACAAGACCTTGAAATCACACATCAACAGAAAGTAGAAGAGGGAAGAAAATAGAAAAAAAAAACAATGGGAAAACACGTGAAAAATCCTAATTCGCCCCATTCAAAAACGCCTTTCTTTAAAGAGGGGGGGAATATGAAAGGGCAGGGCAGGTTGGAAAAAAAAAAAGAAAACCACCTCCCTCGCACAAAGGACTGAAATCCTTGTCGAGCGAGCGAGAGACAGGCAAGTCATTGTACGTTAATGAACGTGAAAAAAATGGCTTGATTCTTTTGTTCCCTTTTCCTGCCTTGGTCTTTTTGGTTGGCTTCCTTTTTTTTGGTTTTGGTTCTCTAAAAGGTTTTCATTGTTTATTTACAGCGGCTTGCCACCGATAAAGTCGGACCAGCGGCGAACCTCGGAGGGGATACCCTCGGCGCGGGGGAGCTTCTCGGCCATGCACTGGGCGAAGAGCATGGCAGTCTGACAAGTTAGCACATGTCCTCTTTTGCAGCGGAAGATTTCGCATTGGTGAGAAATCAGGGGTATGTTGAGCTTACCTTGGGCTCCATGAACAGAGGAACGCCAAAGTCGACGGCGTTGCGGCGCATGACGTAGTCTACGTCCATGACGGTCTTTCCGCGGGCGCGGGCGAGGTTGAAGACACCGCGAATGTCGTACTTCTGGAAGACTTCACGGAGGGCGCGCTTGTCCTCCTTGGGGAACTCAATGACCTCGACCGAGGCGCCGCCCTTGGCGGACGACTCGATGAAGCGCTTGACCTCGGCGTCGGCGGCGAACAGCTTGAAGCCAAGGGGCGCGAGGTGGTCGACAATGGTGGTGAGCCATGCCTCGGAAAGCTCGCCACCGAAAAGGAGACCCTCGCCAGGCTCGGGCATGCGGAAGTTCATGGTCGACTGGAGAGAAGCCCAGTAGGCCTCAACAAGATCCTTGCCGAAGCAGGCAATCTCACCAGTGGAGGCCATCTCGACGCCGAGGAAGGGGTCGGCACCAGCGAGACGGGTCCAGGAGAACTGGGGAACCTTGGTCGCGACGTAGTCGCGCTTCACAGCCATGAGATCGACGGGCTCGGGAACCTGCTGGCCGACGAGTGCCTTGGTGGCGACATCGATAAAGTTGGTGCCGAGGACCTTGCTGACGAAGGGGAACGAACGGGAAGCACGCAGGTTGCACTCAATGACCTTGAGGGCAGCGTCGCCGCCGGCAGGGTCGTCGGCCTTGATAATCTGCATGTTGAAGGGGCCAGTGATCTTCCAGGCCTTGGCGACCTTCTCGGCGATCTCCTTGACACGGTCCATGATAGACTGCTCGAGGTTGGCGGGAGGGAGAACAAGGGTGGCGTCACCAGAGTGAACACCGGCCTGCTCAACGTGCTCGCTAACGGCGTGGAGGATGAGCTTGCCATCAGAGGCGACACCATCGACGTCGATCTCCTGAGCGCCCTCGATGAACTTGGTAATGACAACGGGGTGGTCGGGGGAGACGTTACTGGCGGCCTCGAGCTTGTCCTTGAGATCCTCCTGGCTGCGAATAACAGTCATGGCGGCACCGGAAAGGACGTAACTGGGACGGACGAGGACGGGGTACCCAACCTGTGTGGCGAATGCCTCGGCTTCAGCCACAGATGTGAGTTCCTTCCAGGCTGGCTGATCAACACCAATGGTGG